TGCTGGATGGAGGGGAGGAGGGAGCAGGGGACCAACCACCAATTCAAGAACCGGGATGGGAAACAAGATGTCCACAGTGCCTACAGATGTTGTTGACTGAATGCAAGCCAACCCAGCTTTGGAGTAAACAGCTTCTTCTGTGGGAGCCCTGAATAAGTCACTTGCTCTACCAAAGCAAACTCTCCAGAGAAAGAGAGCGAGCGTCTGCTTTTCCCAAACCAGCAGAAGGGCTGTACGGGAACTCATTTCTCTTCGTGCTCTGGCAGGGGTCCTGAGCTCCAACCTCCAAACGTTGACGCCCCCCAGCCCCCCAAACCAAGGCACGCGAAAGTCCTTACCGATGCCTTGCATAAAAGTTGGATAAAGCCGGTCAGTAAGGAGAGGTTCAGGGAGTTCGCGGAAGTACAGCTTCAGGGTCCCCGCGATGGCGTTGATATCCATGTCGCTCAGCATCACCAGGATATCTTTGCTGTCTACAGCAGAATTCAAATCGAGCCTGGGTTTAGAACCTCCATATTTAGAGGCAGCCTACCTCAGAATTTCAACCACAAGCAATAAGGGAGCTTGCTTTCCCAGAACCCCTGGGCTGGGCACAACTGGAAACCACCCCCTTGGAGAGGGGGGCTCAGGTTGCTCGAACGTGAGCAGGCAATGCACCATCACTCACGCGTTTCCAAGAGCGGCAGCAAACAAGGACGGGAAACTCACTGGAATCAAAGGCGGCTTTCAAGGCCTGGATGTCGGTGGCCACCCCTGAGATCCTGTAGATGCCGACTTCATCAATGCCCCGTTTCTCTACTTCCTCCACACACTGGCGCACGACATATGGTATTTTGGAGCGCTCACGCCTGTTGGAAAAAGGAGAGCATCACGGATCAGAGAGCCCCAGGAATTCTGCAGAAGACGCCCCAGCCTTTAGGGAAACCGCTGCTTCCTTTTTTCCAGAGAAAACCAGGAGGGCCTCTATTTCCCCCAAAGTGGCCCCCAGCAGCTGGTGTGGCGACCCTAAAGATTAAAAGAGAGGGTGGAGAGATGGCCCCCTCCTTCCAGCCAGGTTTGCTTGGCTGCTCCTCTGCCCTGCCGGGGAAGACGGGCCTCTCTCAAGGGCACCCCCCGGACTGCTAGGAAACTTTGGGGCAGAATCCGGGGCGATGCCTCGTTTTGAGGGTGGAATTAAAATCCCAAATGGGCAACAGGAAACGCTTCCTTCCCACTCGCAGCCAGCCTGTTTGGGAGACCGTTAGAAAGCTGGCCCCCACTTTGAATATCCCATCAGGAAACGCTTCCTTCCCACTCGCAGCCAGCCTGTTTGGGAGACCGTTAGAAAGCTGGCCCCCACTTTGAATATCCCATCAGGAAACGCTTCCTTCCCACTCGCAGCCAGCCTGTTTGGGAGACCGTTAGAAAGCTGGCCCCCACTTTGAATATCCCATCAGGAAACGCTTCCTTCCCACTCGCAGCCAGCCTGTTTGGGAGACCGTTAGAAAGCTGGCCCCCACTTTGAATATCCCATTTAATCAGACCGACTACATGTGCTGAAGCAGAGGATCCCATGGAGGATCCTATTGCCCTGGGCTGATCTCAAAAAGCTGAGCAAGTGGGTCCATGGATGGGAGACCACCAGAAGATACAGAGGAGGAGTGAGACTGCAAACTCAAATGATAATCATTCCAGAAGATGGGGAAAAAATCACTTCAGTATTCTTGCTAAGAAGACTACCTGGGTGTGCCCCTAAAGTTGGCAGAAGAGGAGTTTGAATGCAAAAGATCTTCCTTTCCCTTTTATGGAACGGTGCCAACAGTGCCCAAGTGGTATCCAAACCTCCTTCGGAGATCCCTGCCAGAAGAAACCCGCAGAACTACTTCCCACCTCCATTCCCAACCTGGCACCAGATGTTCTGAACCTGTCATTTTCACCATGCTGGCTGGAAATCTTGGAAGCGGAAGTTCCCAAGTTGGAAATAGCTGGTTTGGGCACAACTTGAGGCTGCCTCCTGAATCGGCTGGCCCTCCCTCTTTCGCTTTAGTTTAGGGTTCAACATAATCTCAGCAGCACATTTTCCTTTCCTGTTTCCACCTGCGCTTGTCCCATATGTGGTTCTTTTTCATTAAGAAAAAACGGGCTGGGAATTTTACAGTCAAACACATAAATAAATAAATGTTCAGGTTTGAGCAAGGGATGCAGAATAGAAATATTCCTAATCATAAATACATATATACTGTAAGTGATGTGTTTGCTGCCAACCTATGACCTGGCAGTGTGCCCTAGAGAAATCTAAAATCTTGGGAGCAGGGTCTCACCTCTGCTGCCCTCCCCTTTAACTAGGATGGGGGGACCACCCTCTTTTGATTTTCTCACACACAAAAACCCAAGCAAGCTGAATATTAAAGCCTGTGACAGGGAACTTTCCTAACCAGCTGAGATGAACAAGTTTATTAAAGCCCCAACAAGGAAGCGCACGGTTACTTGGCTGGCTGAATCACAAAACGCAGACCAGACCTGCAATGACTGAATCCCCCTTTTCAGGAAAATTCTTGACCTTGCAAGGGGAGAGAAAAAAGCCTGCAACACAGCGGAACCAGTATAAAGGAATTCCTCCCATTGGGGGGAGATGGGCAGGGGACAAATTTAATAAATAGAATAGAACAGAACAGAACAGAACAGAACAGAAC